GGATATGCTGGGGCCTAGCTTGTGGGATTCCTGGAATTCAGCAGGGCAGACGTGAGTTTCTTTCTTCTCTTAGTCTTCCTAATGGCTTAGACCGACTTCCTTTTATTTTTATCTGGTTGTATTCAAGGAAGCTGTTTAGTAGCTGCTTCTCTTGGAAGTCGCTCTTTCCAAACATACAACCGCACTGTTATGAATGTCTACTTGCTTCATATACCATACATTTTCTTTTTAGAAATATAACAGTTGTTTCTGCTGTATGCCTGTATCTAAGATGTTTGAAGCAGAAATTATTGTTTTTCATGCACCCATTACATCGTTCTCACACTAACAAGCTCTTTTGTTGCATGTGAAGAAATTTTTTGGTTAGATTTAACATATCTACGTGATAACAGTGTAGTTGAAGGGCCGAGTCTTGACTAGTTTTTTTTTTCACACTCGATGAATTATTTCTCATCTTGCACCTATTCTTAAATTTTGCAGTGTAGTTTGTTACTTCCTGGTTTTCTAACTTGTGTCGAAAACTTTCAGCATGTCATCAGAAATGGTAGCCTGTATTGCTGCAGAGGCCATTTCTATCCTGGAAAGCATGCATTCTAAAGGGTAAGCAGGCATCCAAATGTTAGCTATGTCTAATGCATCAGGCATTTTCCCTCTTTCTCATGATGCTGGTACAAATTCCTTTCAGATATGTACATGGAGATGTCAAACCTGAGAATTTTCTTCTCGGTCAGCCTGGAACTCCTCAAGAAAAGAAACTTTTTCTTGTAGATCTTGGATTAGGTAAGCAAACCTCTTTATCCATGTTCTTGCTACTTGTTAGTTTACACTGCAGCGGTGAAAGTTCCGAGTGTTCTGGTAGAATACTGTTGCTAGTGTACTGGTAGTTTAGATGATTCAAACTTGATATTCTTGACTGCTTTAGACCTTCAGTGTTCCATGTTGCTTTGTGTCTGGAACTTTGGATCATCTAAGATTTTTTTTTCATTTGGCAGCAACAAAGTGGAAAGATCCTGCTACTCAACAGCATGTTGATTATGATCAACGTCCGGATGCCTTCAGGTCTGCCATGCCTTAAATTTGTTAGTTCCATACGATCTTATATATCTGCAGATGTTCTAAATCTTGTCTTCCTGGTGTAGAGGAACAGTCAGATATGCTAGTGCCCATGCGCATTTAGGAAGAACTGCAAGCAGGAGAGATGACTTGGAATCACTGGCTTATACACTAGTATTTCTCCATCGAGGCAGGTTACCATGGCAAGGATACCAGGTATCATATTGTCTAATCTATTTAGTTTTTGTGCCCATTCACCATCATTTTGTAGCATATCTGTTTGAGAATCTCATATAGATATTGTGTGTGTGTGTGTGTTTGCAGGGTGATAATAAATCATTTCTGGTGTGCAAGAGAAAGATGAGTACCTCACCTGATATCCTTTGCGGCCTCTGTCCTCAACCTTTTAAGCTATTCCTTGAGACTGTAGTCAACATGAAGTTTGATGAGGAACCAAACTACTCCAAGTTGATTTCTTTGTTCGATGTTTTAATTGGACCAAACCCTTCCATCAGACCAATCAATACCGATGGAGCCCAAAAGGTTCGTGTTAGGGCATTGCACATGATTTGGAGTTATTAAGTGAACCTGAAAACACTGCATGTGTTACTAAATTCTTTCATTCCCTGCAGGTAGGGCAGAAGCGTTCTAGGCTGCTTAATGACGATGACGATAGCAACGCAAGAAAGAAGATTCGCCTGGGCGTTCCAGCAACACAGTGGATTTCTGTATATAATTCTAGATCACCCATGAAACAGAGGTACAGTTCTGATTCTCAAGCTAACTCTTCTCCTCTATTGTTTTAGTGAAACCCACAGGATCATATTAGGATTTCTTTTGACAGTTATCTACTGGTTCAAGTTCAGCTTTGAGGGTTTACCCTAATTGTTACAATCATAAAGCAGCTCACAGACTTACTTTAGATGTATTCATGGAACCTGTGTACCGTGTACTTTCCAGCACATTGTGTTTACATCTTAGGCTCATACTGGCTTCTGTAAGCTGTAACAGGCAATGCAGATGTTGTTAGCCATGGTCAGATATGCACACTCCTTTGTATCAGCAAAAAATGCCTTACATAAGACTTTTCTTGTGTCGGCAATTTGCCTGTCGTGTAGGCCTGGAGTATGATGATCCTTCCCTGATATGATGTATTATAATGCCCTCGTACGCATAGCAATACGGTAAAAAGTTACCTTTCCACCGAGACCTGTGAAGCTCATGTGCCACATCCCATATATTTCCATCAGAGTTGCCTGTAGTTTATAACCTGTTAGGAGAACTCAAGCCTCCGTTCCTAAATATAAGTCCTTTTAGAGATTCCAATATGGACCACATACGGAGCAAAATGAAAAATTTACACTCTAAAATACGTCTACATACTTCCGTATGTAGTCCATATTGAAATCTCTAAAAAGACTTATATTTAGAAACGGAGGGACTATAAATGAAGGAAACTTTACAATCTTTGCTGGGAACCAAAATACGCTGACAATCTAGAGTATTCTCCTTCATTGTTTGCATTGATTGATGCACCATCATCATCATCTTTTTATGTAGTTTATTTGTATACAGGCTGATTAACTATTTTCCTTGATAGGTACCACTATAATGTGGCTGACAATAGGTTAGCGCCACACGTGGAGAAAGGAAATGAGGATGGTCTTCTGATAAGCTCAATATCATCATGTGTTGATCTTTGGGCAATCATTATGGATGCTGGAACTGGCTTCACGGATCAAGTCTATGAACTGTCTCCACATTTCCTTCACAAGGTAGAAGAAACTTCCCATCTGTCCCTCGTGTAACTTAATTCTCCTCATTTGCACTCATTTTAACCAAAAAAAAAAAAAAACAGGACTGGATTATGGAACAATGGGAGAAAAATTTCTACATCAGTTCTGTCGCTGGCGCCAACATCGGAAGCTCTCTTGTAGTGATGTCCAAAGGTATGCATATCTTTTTGTGTTACGTATAGATATAGTCTTTACTTTCTGTTTTTTCCCTAGCTGTCGCATATGTTGCGGTATAGATAGTAAGCATGTATCTCCTGGTGAGTCTAGTTGTCTTGCAATGTACCACATCTGTGTGAATCAGCCTCAGAAGTAAACCTGGAGAGGAGAGCGAAGTCGCTGCTCCAAATCCGCTTGTGTTCCAACAGCAGGATCAGTCATCTGAAATGGCAGGAACAGGCACCTTCCATCTGAGTATCTTGCTACCAGATTGTGATATTTTCTCTGCTTACCAGATTGCAGTTGCCATCTTTTGATGGGAGCCCCTGTTCATGATTCTTGTGTTGCTTTTTCTTGTAGATTTTTGTTTTGCGGGGAAACTTTTTTATTATACATATAACTGCTTAGCTGGTGCTATAATATGTTGTGGTATTTCTGATGACTGGCAGGCACGCCATACACGCAGCAGTCCTACAAGGTGAGCGATTCCTTCCCTTTCAAATGGATAAACAAGAAATGGAAGGAAGGCTTCTACGTGACGTCGATGGCGACGTCGGGCAGCCGATGGGCCATAGTGATGTCACGCAACGCTGGGTTCACCGACCAGGTGAGATTGTGATTTCATCATTCTGAAGCATTTCCTTAAATAAATGGAGCAAAACATGAGTTGTGTATGGCTTTTTTTCGCTCCATGTTTTCTTTCACATGCCACTGTTTGCAAAGGCGTGTAAGATTGAACTCCCAGAGTCGCACACATTCCAAGATGCCGCCTGTCTTGTTGGTTGTCTCATAGTTGACTTTGTAAAACGTTGTTACTGGTGGCAGGTGGTGGAGCTGGACTTTCTGTACCCGAGCGAGGGCGTCCACAGGCGGTGGGACAACGGGTACCGGATCACGGCGATGGCGGCGACCATGGACCAGTCGGCCCTGATCCTGAGCATGCCGAGGCGCCGGCCTCGGGACGAGACGCAGGAGACCCTGCGGACGTCGCAGTTCCCCAGCGCGCATGTCAAGGTATGCATGCTTGAACCCTCCCTCCCTCCCTCCCTCCCTCCCTAGTAAAGCAGCAAGTTGTTATGGATTGGAGAGCTTTTGCTGACCGAGTTGGAATGAAAATGTTGCAGGACAAGTGGGCCAAGAACCTCTACCTCGCCGGGATCTGCTACGGGCGAACGGTGGCGTAGCGGTAGCATAGCCATAGCCATGGCTGCCCGCGGAGCGAGCTGGATGCAATGCATCCTTGGTAGTAGGTGATGGCTCTTTGAGTGAGTCCTATTTATCCAGACCTGATTCATGTTGCTGACACCCAACCCAACCCCAACCCCAACCCCATCCCATCCCATTCATGTGTATATTTTCATAGCATCTGCTTGCTTAATTTTAATTTTAATTTTAATTACTGCAGCATCGATTGTAGTGAGTTTGTTTGGATGGATTGTGAATGAATGAATTTCCTCATCATGTATCTGACTCACTGCTAGTCATGATGATGATTATGTTGCTGGTCTCTTGTACCATGCATGTTTTTCATCTCTAGATGCATCTCCTTTTATCCATTTTGATGACAAGTATTTTTTTTCGGACGGAGGGTCCATTTTGATGACAAGTATTTTGGGACGGAGGGAGTACTAAATCGCTTCTCATTATAGTACATTGCTGCTAAAATACAGACATGTCCATGAAAGCTAAGCTAGCAAAGCAGTTTGGCACTTGTACCTTTTCTTTTTAACTTTTGCCAACAACTAGTGCACATTAGAATTATTATCAGTCAACAAGCAAACAATTATTATTGTACAATCAGTCAATACATATGTATATATAAAGTTAAAAAAATATAAATAAAGAGATTTTCTTTTTTGGAGAGAAAGCAGAGCAGTTGGAGCCGGAGGTGTACAAGTGGCCACACCTCCACCACCATTGCCAACCATCCACTTCCAACGAGACCAAACCAAAACCCAAGCCGGAGACAGATAGATCCAACAAGAGCCATCAGCCATGGCCGGCCTCCTCCTCCTCAAGCTCCTCCCTCCCTCCATCCTCTCCGGCGGCGCCACCTCCACCTCCACACCTCGCCGTCGGCCAGCACCGATCCACCACACCACCACCAGAATCACAAGCAGCAGCATCAACGCAACACAGTCTTCCTCCTCCTCCACCACACCCGCGACAACCTCGGCGTCGTCTCCGGCGGCGGTGAAGCTCACCTACCTCCAGTTCAACGGCTGGCTGTGGGAGCTGCCCGGCGGCTTCCGCGTCCTCGTCGACCCCATCCTCGTCGGCAACCTCGACTTCGGCATCCCCTGGCTCTTCGACGCCGCCAAGAAGACCCTCCCCAACTCCCACCCACAGCCGGACGCCGGCCTCCTCGCCGACCTGCTGCTCATCACCCAGAGCCTCGACGACCACTGCCACCTCCGCACCCTCACCCAGCTCGCCGCCATCCGCCCCGGCCTCCCCGTCGTCGCCACGCCCAACGCGCGCCCCATCCTCTCCGCCCTCCCCTTCACCCACGTCACCTACCTCGAGCCCGGCCAGTCCACCACCGCCGCCGCCGTCACCGTGCTCGCCACCGCCGGCCCCGTGCTCGGCCCGCCGTGGCAGCGCCCGGAGAACGGCTACATCGTCACCGCCGGCAAAAACACCAGCGTCTACTACGAGCCGCACTGCGTGTATGACGCCGGGTTCCTGCGGGACAGGGCGCTGCGCGCCGACGTGCTCATCACGCCCGTCGTCAAGCAGCTCCTCCCGGCCGACTTCACCCTCGTCTCCGGGCAGGAGGACGCCGTGGAGCTCGCCAGGCTGCTCCGCCCAAGCTACGTCGTGCCCATGAGCAACGGCGAGTTCGACGCCAAGGGCCTCCTCGCCGCCCTCGTCTCCACCCGGGGCACCATCCAGGCCTTCAGGGCCATGCTCGCCGACGCGCTCCCCGACGCAAAGGTCGTCGAGCCCACCCCCGGCGTCCCGCTCCACCTCCGCTTCGACGACAACGACAACAACAACAATTCATCAACATCATCATCATCATCTTCATAGATTAGCTCCATTCTCCATTCATATTGCAACAACATAAGACAGACAGACAAACAGAGGGAGGGCAAAAGATTACTTCTTAGAAGAACTCCATCTAGACATGCTCTAGTAGAATATATATATATATAGTTCAAAAAATCTTAATATCATATAGTATATGCAAGTATAATACTACAATCCTTTTCCTTTTGATTTGTAGGATAAGCATAATACAATCTTATTACAAGTGTATTCTACTGTACATGGCAAGACCAGTTTCATGGATGGATGCCGGTCAGTCTATAACCATTCCATCATCATCATCGTCATCCTCATCCGGCGAGATGAGCCCAAAAGGACTGCAGCAGGGTCTTGGAGCCCAGGAATTGCCCGCCGGAGTCTGACTCCATGTTGTAGCACCAGGGGCCGCCGTCAACCCCACCGCCGGACGCCGTGACCAATCCCTGCTGCTCCAGCTCTGCCGCCTTGCCGACGAAGAAGAGCCGACCATCGGAGGCGGCGAGCACCGCCTGGATCACCTGCGGCCGGCCATAGAGCCTGGGAAGGTACACCTTGTCGGCCATGGACTCGACGGCCGGCTTTGCCACCGACACCGACGACGTCGTTCCGGTGAAAAGGGACTGGCCGTCCAATGACTTGACCCTCTTCCATGCCATCTTGGCCTCGTCGAGCCTCAGCACGTAGATGGGCGGGGCTCCATTGCTGCCCGTCAGGACGGCGAGCAGCTCCGACCGCGAGTCGACGAGGTGGCAATTCTTGTAGGCGAGCTCCGGGCCGAAGCCGGCGGGCTTGGGGAGCGCGCTCCACGTCGCCTCGCCGGGATCGTAGACCCCTAGAGCACCCTCCTGTCCAAGGCAGTAGAGCATCCCCTTGTGCATCACCGGGCAGCAGCAGCAGGACATTCTGAACCCGCTCTGCTCCTCGACGCTCTTCCAGCCGCCGCCGCCGCCGGCCCAGCTCTCGACCCTGACATTGATGAACTCCAGAGCAGAGCAGAGCAGAGACGACAAAGAAGGAATTTTTATCTCACGGCCAGGCCAGGCCAGACGACGAGTCGGTCCGTCCAAACAATACTCCTACCTCCTGGACCGGACCCAGACCGACCCCGCCTCTAACACCTCCCCTTATAAATTTCAAATTTCAAATTCAAGTTTTTTTTAAAAAAAATAGCACCCAGTCCTGCTTCCAAATTCAACTCCGCAAGTGCAACTTTGTGCCTGGCATCATGAGAAAAGTGGCATGTTTTCAGTTAAGAGTGCGTACATGCTTGCACAGAATCTCATGGACTCCAAGGTTAATCTGGGAAATTCTAGTGCAGCAGTAAACGGGGAAAGAAGGATCTGGAATATTATTTGGAAAGCTAATGTCCCACAGAAGATTAGAATATTTGCTTGGCGGGTGGCTTCACACATTTGCATTTGAGCTCCTCAAGATTTGGAACTTGATGATTCCCGTTATTACTGAACTCCCTTCGTAAGTTCAAGTGGATTTTGTTCATGGATACAACTTGTTGTCAGTATGATCAGGAGCATGTGCTTGCGGGTATTTGTAAAATAAAAATATGAATGATGAGAGTGCAAGTGAGTTATAGAACAATGTGTTTAAAAATAACCTTATAAGCTAAAATGATAGTCCTAATTTCACAACGTACTTCCTCTGCAAATAAATATAAGACACTCTAGACCACTAAAGTCGTGGTCTAAAACATCTTATATTAGTTTATAGTGGGAGTAGTAAATTAGTCATACTATATGTACTCCATTTTTTTTATGTTGCTTGATTGGTTTACTAAGCAAGGAATTTTTGTTATTTTTCTCATATAGTAAATTACCAATCTTCTTCCCCAATAATATGACAACCAAACAAATCTAGATGATTGCGCCGAATTTTGACAAAATTCCTCAAATTTTCTATCTTCCATATTATATATCTTCGCACCTAATCTCTCTCTCTCTCTCTCTCTCTCTCTCTCTCTCTCTCTCTCATATAGTCAAAATCAATTGGTAGAAGTATGATTCATACGCGTGTGCTATGCTTGCAGTACTACCAGGGGAGTGAATGGTAGCTTCTCTTCACACACTCATGGGAGAGACCAGACTCGTGGGAGGAGATGGCAAACGATTTCTGGTTGCAGAGGTTCGCTGTATTGGGGAACATTGCATGAAAATCAAAAACTTCCTATGAACACCCAAGATCTATCTAAGAGAAGCATAGCAACTAGAGAAGAGAGTGTGTCTACGTATCCTCATAGACCGTTAAGCGGAAGCATATATCACGCAGTTGATGTAGTTGTACTCGTCACGATCCAATCGCGATCCAAACCGATGAAGTACCGAACGGACGACGCCTCCGCATTCAGCACACATACGGCTCGATGACGTCTCCTCCTTCTTGATTCAGCAAGCGAGGGATGAGAAGCAGATGGGATCACCAACAGCACGACGACGTGACGGCGATGATGGTGGAGTGATTCCGGCAGGGCTACGCCGAGCGCTACCGAAACAACACAGACGGAGGAGTTACGAAGTAACGGGAGGGAGAGGGGGGCCAAAGGCTTGTGTGTCCTCTTGGGGGTGCCCCCTCCCCTCTATATATACGTGGAGGGGGGTGGTGGCCAGCCCTCCAAGCCCTAGGGACGCACCAAGGGGGAGGAGTTGGACTCCAAGTCCAATTCCCTCCTTTTTCCATGCACAGGTGGACTTTCCACATCTCCCAAGCCACACGGGCCTTGAGGGACTTGTGCGCCTGGCCCAATAAGGTCAGGGCGCCTCCCCTCAGCCCGATAAGGCTAGGGCGCCTGGCCCAATATGCAGTAGAAACCTTCTATAATGTGCTCTGCACGATGGGAGAAGACACAATGCGCCTCTTTGGGCCGACCCATGTCCAGGCGGCCTATTTTTCAAATTCCATTTTCCTTTTCTGTCTTTGTTTTTTCTACTTTAAATAATTTGAGACTTTAAAAAGATTTCAAACATTAAAAAAAAGATAATTTTGAGATAAAGTGCTTAATAATTCATAAATGTTTGTGTATTCAGAAAATGTTCGCGATTTTTAACAAATGTTTGCAATTTTGGAACAAATGTTTGCGAAATCAAAAAATGTTCATGCTTTTTTCAAAAAGTTTGTGTATTAAACTATGTTAATAAAATTGAGCAAAATTTCGCCATTTCAAAAAATGTTCATGAATTGAAAAATATCCTAAAATTTCAAAAAATCTTCGTGACCTACAAAATAGTTTATTGATTCATAAAATGTTGGCTGATTCAAACAATGATCATGCAGTTCAAAAATGTTCATTAAATCATTTTTTGTGAATTTAAAAAATTGTTCCATAAATTTCCAAAAAAAAATGTTCTTGACTCTAGAAATGTTAGCCTATTCAAGAAAAATGTTTTAGAAAAAATTCATGAATTTTAAAAATGTTCATGATTTTAGAAAATGTTTGAAAATATGTAAAAATGTTCACAAATTTGAAAAATGTACACGAGTTTAAAAATGTTCATGATTTTCAATTTTTTCAAGATGTCATTAAAATGGGACTGATAGTGTCTCTTGGTGATGCAGTAAAATGTGGTCATGGCCATTTAAGATTATGATTTATTTCACCCCTTGCAACGCACGTGCCGTTTTGCTAGTTAAACTAAAATCTATATCTATAACTAACTAATAATCAAAGGGCTATTGCTTTCGGCGGTATGTCATGGATTTTTCCTCCAAGGTTGCAAAAAATTACATACGAATGCCATCTATAAGTGATAAAAAATGTTTCTCACAAGGGAATTCCCCGCCTGGGCCGGCCCATGCAGTAGGGACCTCTTATACAGTGCTCTGCGCGCTGGTAGAGATGCGACATGCCCGTTGGGCCGGCCGATGTCCGACCGGCCTATTTTTTATATTTCGTTTTTATTTTCTCTTTGTCTTTTCCGTTTCTGTTATTTTATACTTTAAATTAGTTGGGACTTAAAAAACTTTCGAAAATAAAAAATTGAGAGCTTTCAAATATAATGTCTGTAGATTCATTTTTTTGTTATTTTGTAAAAATATGTTTTCTTATTCAATTTTTTTTTGAAAACAGATGTTTGGAAAATAAAAAAATGTTCATAAAATACCCTAAAAATTAAAAAACTGTTCGTGACTTAAAAAATAGTTTATTCGTTCATAAAATGTTCGCTGATTCAAAAAATGATCTTGCATTTCAGAAAATGTTCATTAAATCCAAAAACAGTTCATCAAATCAAAACAAAAAGTTTGTGAATTTGAAAAGTTGTTCCACCAATTTCCAAATAAAATGTCCATCAATTCTAGGAAAATTCACGGACTCAAGAAAATTGTTTTAAGAAATGTGCATAATTTTTAAAATGTTTTATAATAGTATAAAATGGCCATGAATTAAAAAATGTTCTTGATTTTAGAAAATGTTCAAAAAATTTTAAAAGTCTTCACGATTTCAAATATGCGCATGAATTTATTTATTTCATGATTTCAAAAATTGTTTATGATTTCATGAAATTGAGAGTGATATTGTATCTCGGTGATACAACAAAATATGGTCATGGCCATTGGAGATTATGGTTTTTTACTCCATTGCAACGCAGGGGCCCTTTTGCTAGTACTACCTAAGCAATTTGTGGAGCATCCTCGGATCCGGCCGAGGACAGTCCGGTGGCCATGGCCGAGGAACCGGCGGGTCACCCCTCAAAGAACAGCGGCCACAGTCGATTGAATCGAGCTTGGAGATCGGATCCGCGCTCTCAAGATGATCTCGAACACGCCGCCCCGCAAACGTCCCAAGGGTCCCCTTGAGCCACCCTTGCATCGCAGGACGATGTCAAATCGATCCGGATTCGGATTTGCTCTGCCCCCACGTCGCATGTTGTCCCGGGGGTTCGGGACCAACCGACGTCTGGGATTTGGCCTATGTTAAGCAGAAGCCTAGAAAAACCATTCGGCAATTCTGGATGAGATTCTTGTTCGTAAAAAATAAGATCCTAGATTACTACGAT